AAAATTCTATGAGATATGCAAATCACTCATAGTCTAACTCGCAGCCTCAGTGAATTCAATGACAAATTGTAAATTCCTAACCATGAATTTAATCAGCATATACATGTATACACATCTATATTTACAAGAAGATTCTAAATTTGAAAGTGAGTGTTTTAAAAAACAAAATACATTAAAACAGCCAACAATGAAACAAAGGTATGCTGGGCTCTCTCTGGAATTGGCTAGGTAATAGTAAATTTACTAATCAAGAAAAAAAAGTATTAGTAAACTTTGTCTGGAAACTGCGAAGCATTTTCCCGCGACCGAGCACAACGGGGAAGAGAGAAGGAGAGGGAGCTGTCCCCTCTGTCGTCCGCCGAAAACAAGAACAGCATGCTGAAAATGGTGCTTGCTGGTAGCAACCTGAGCTCTAATTTTGTGTGTAATTTCATGACATCAAATTAGGCAGTCTGCTCCACAAAATGTACCATTTATGATGGTACAACAAAACATCACAACAAAATATGCAATGTAGACACCAGAACCTTTATTTGAATAACTCAGTATTAATTAAACATATTCATGATAAACTCACATTGTTAACAGTGGGGAAAATAGTCATCATTCAAAAGTTCACTAAGTTCACTGCCTAGAACACAAGTCATCCTGTGAATAAATTTTCACGGGAAATTTCTCAGAAAAAAAACTCTATGCCAATCAATATTATTATGAAGTAATCTCCCGTGCTCATCATGCAAACCCGCATGTTGACGTTTATGACGACACAAAATGACTATTATTTTCATCGAAATTTCTGAATTAAAGTGAAAAAGTAACTGTTGGTCTTGTAACTCGATCTCAATGCTAAGAATGCCTATAAGAATGTTACACAAATTATAGTATTTTTCGATCGATTTGCTAACATTGTCTCACCTTCCATTAGCTGTGGAATCATAGCCCTATGTTGCCGACCGCATTATTTACGTGACATGTTCGACATACAACAAAAATAAAAACAAGACGTCCGAATGAAATTGGTAGGGCAAAATTAGATTGTATGTCGCACCAAAGAGCTACGGAACCGCAGCTAACCTTCCATTATTTCTGAAATCGTGCTGCAGTACCATCAACTTTCCGTTTCTTGGTGCTGTCAGGGTTAGGACACCCATGGGTTTCTGGTTCTGAACACGATTTAGCGGTTTCTCCATCTCGTCGTGAAAAATACTCGTCGAGCAGTTGTCTGCTCCTTTTTGACGTAGTCTCCATTTTCAATAAATAAACAAATCACGTGTTTGATAAGGGCGACATGAAACCGTCCCATACTGAGAGTAAAGTTGCGGGGTATCTTGAAACACATGTCGACTAAACTACGCATGTGCGATGACACCAAAATAAATTTAGAGTGGAAAAGTACATTCATATTCAGTGGCAGTTCCGTGTTGATCGCGATCACCATGTAACAATTGTTGCAATCTTAGAAGTAACGGGACATTGTTAAAATGGCAGAATTCGCCAAGCGTTGGATTGTTCACCCACCAACAGGGAACGTGAGCTGGGTTTAGACCGTCGTTGAGACAGGTTAGTTTTACCCTACTGTAACACGCGTGATGATCACAGTCGAGTCTTGACAATTAAATGAGGGCGATTTGCGAGGGTATTTTGTACAAAATGTGTTCGTAAATCCTACTAATAGATATTTATTTTGTTCGTAAATCTTGTCCAATTTCGTAGTTTACGACTTTTGCGAGCGACAGCGAGAGCACAGGTATGTAATTTATTTACCTTATGTGACTCACACATAGGCATATTTACCAGTTTATTTATCTTAGATGAACCAGTGATTCAGTTTTTGTATCATAAGTGATCCACACAGGTGTATATTCAATTTATTTACCTTAAGTGATCCATACAGAGGTATATATTAAGTTTATTCACCTTAAGTGATCCACAGCGATATATATTCAGTTTATTCACCTTAAGTGAATCTTACAGGTGTATATTTAGTTCATTTACCAGTAAGACATCCACCCAGAGGTGTATATTCAGTTTATTGACCTTAAGTGAATCTCACAGGTGTATATTTAGTTCATTTACCAGTAAGACATCCACCCAGAGGTGTATATTCAGTTTATTTACCTGAGAATGGTCATGCAAAAGAATAGTACCGGCCAATGCAGTGATGATATTATCTGCAGTCATACTCCACATCATTCCCATCATTTCACTGTATCCATTAAAGAAGTGAAATGGCCTAACCATAACATCCATGATATTCAATCCTAGCCCAGATGCTGCATCATTGTCATCAGCTTCCTCAGCTTCTCCTAAGAAACTATCTAACCCAGTTGCAAAGATACCAACCTGAAACGAAACACAGCAGTAAATTTTTAAAAGGACGGAGGTCGTTGTATCATGTCTTGTTGGGTATGAAAAGAATAGCTATGTTTGCAACGACCACCGTCCTTTAAAAAAAAATTTTTAGCTAACACTAAAATTTCGGAACAGACTGATGTTTGTGGAAAAATTAGTTGCAATACATACTGTAAAGATACATAATAATATGTATAAAATACATAACTAATCCCATGATCGTAACAAACTCACCGAGACAATAGTTGCTGTGTCATTGTCGGTATCCATCAATACATCCATATAACTTTGTCTCAAAATTCCAGATTTACTCATCAGCATATCCAAGGCATAGGTAGATAAAACATCTCCAGTGTCTGGGAGGAAACAGCATCATGATTAAACACTAACAAATTTGGAAAATTGTTGATTATGTTTTTATAATTATTGGGCATTTAGCGAGTCTTGCAACATTATTCGCTTATATCCCAATCATTGTATTATGAGGTTATTACTAGGATACCTCAAAATATGCACGAAGACAACACAATAGAAGTATCAACCGACACACAGCGAAGGTTGATCCGACGGTGTACTGTCAGAGTGCAAACTTTGAGGTATCCTCGTAATTACCTTATTATTATTATACATCTTTTCCTTCCAAGGATACATCATGGGAATGCCAATCCAAAATTTTTAGAACATAACCAGTGAACTTCTTTGTGTGGAGTCCAGTCAGTTCCTGGTGGCAGCCATGTTTGTTTTTATTATTAGAAAACGCTTATGCGCGTAATCATTTCATATTTGGAATTCGCATTTCCTTTATGGTAGGATGAAAATACCCCGTAAAATATGGCAAAATTACGGCGCACTGTAACTTACGGCGTTAGGGCAACAGATGTATAATAATAGTTGTTAATATGATCTTGGCAAAAAGATTGATGAAATTTAAGCAAATTTTCATTTTAAATAAGGCAAATGAAGCTCAACAAACAAAAAATGGCATTATGTAGTCCACATGAGTTATCATGAAATATCAAATAAATATATAAGGTTTGAACATAAACAGTCTGAGGATGCCAGAGACAGCTGCAGAACTGCACTCATTAAAACAGAATGGCCATCAGTCAGCCATTTTCAATCTGATCAGAAAAACGAAATGATGAGCATAAAAGTCCAATGCTATCAATGTATGTTCCACGTTTCAACAAAATCTATCCCATACATGACTAAGATATGAATTGGGAATTGCAGAAACACTTGATTTTGATGAATTAACATTAAAATGACTGCCATTCGACCATTTTTTAACCGAACACATGTCAAAGATACATAGCTCAGGAACAGCACTTAATAAAAACAATGTCCACCAGTAAATATTCCAGACCTACCTGCCATAGTGTTACTAAAACTGATTGACATTCCACTTCTTGCCACATATCATAATTGAAAATTCTTGGGATCCTTCATGATATCATCTTCTAAACTTCGTCTGTAACAAAACGGTTAAAATCAAAATATGAATTTTTCATTTTTACTGTTTAATATATATTGTATGGTTGCATCACAACAATCAGAATCTTGCACTTACCTAAGTTTGACATTATTTTTAAGAACATCTTTTATTTTTCGCTGCATGAAAGCGGTAAGTTCCAAATTATCTTGATCAGTAAGCGATAGTACAAGATTGGTGATTTCTTGTTGAGATGGGTTGTTGTTAAGTATGAGACCGGCAGCATTGCTACGGGCAGCACTTTCATACTTTCGATGATTTTGGTGATAAATTTCATTCAATGATTGTCGCACCTGAAAATAATTAAGCCATTAATTAAAGTAAAAACTTAAACGGACAGTCGCGTCACAACTGAGCATTTTACTATTTAATTATTGTTCTTCTGTTCCTTGAATTTCATAAACTACACTTATAAACTTTTGCAGTAATTTCACAATGACTTAATTTCACTGCGACACTCAACCCAAAAAATCCAATGTAGTTTTCACAGCTACAAAATGTTCTGCTTTTTCATTTCTCACAAAAAGATCGCATATGAAATGAACACACTTTACATATTTAAATTATCCAGGATTTATAAGATAAAGGTATGCAACAGATGTGATATGCAAATGAGTTCGAATATACACTCTTCAAATACAAACGAGTCAGTGAATATTTGTTTTATCTTAAACTGCCTTTTTGTTTCTAGTGTCTTTGCATATTTGCATATTCGCAGAGTGTACATTACATGTTTTTTTCCTTCTTGACTTTTGCTTTTTTAACAATTTTTTTTTTATATTTCGTTTATTTTTCCAGAAGCAAGTTTAATAAATCCTAAACAGCCCCTTTTATATTGACGCAATCCATACTGAAAATAAATATAATAATAGTAATTATTTTTTTCGGTAATTTTTTTTGGTAATATTTTGGTACAACATTTTTCATGTTTTTTATGTATTTTTCTATGATTTTCTTTTTATAATTTGAATCAAATGCACATAATTCCTTTTTTGGGCTTCTAGTCTTGATAACAGTTTTGGAATAAGTAGGAAAAAATTATGTGGATTATCAAGTTTGTGAATGTTGACAGAAGATGACTTTGATGCTTAAGAAGTTGAATATGTAGTCTTACCTCTGGGGCTGTTAAAACAGAACCATCAAACATTTTCAGCGACTCCAGAGCCGCAACATGAACTTTGCTACTTTTACCATGTACAGCATAATTAGCTATCAACGGTACATGATCCGATAATTTAGAATTAGACATTGCTCTTAGAAAGATTACTTTGTCGGTATCCTCCTCATACTTATCAAGAGCTTCCTTGAACCAGTCACTGGTGTCCTGTACGATCTGTAAGCAGATCAGAATATAGAATGTGCTCCCTCTATGGTGATGCAATAAATTCTTTTGTTTTAATGACATTGTGAGAATGAACACTGTAAAATCATTAATTACTCATTGGGTTTTAATTTTACTGATAAGTGAGATCCGCTAAATTAAATCCATGTGGCAAATTCATATAATTCATGAATACTTAAAAATTGTAAATTATACACCAGAAAAAAATTAATGCTCATATATGTATTTCTTAAATCAAAAATATTTAACTAAATTTATCAAAGAACTGAGAGTTTGGATTGTAAATTGTGCCCTCTATGGTGGTTTGTTTTAATTATATTTTAAAAATATCAATCACTGAAATGAATAGCTGCTACAATATTCTTCAAACTTTCATTAAATTAGAGAAACAAGAGTCTGAAATGTGAAGTAAAATTTCAAAATTGCATTTCTGCACAGCTTTTTTTCTCCGTAGCATGGAATAAAACATTCATACATCATTATTGATACAAATCTTAATATTGTTAAAACTGTTCAAACAATTAAAGGGCAGTGGTCAACGTGCCGCGTTCTGTTCGATATGGGACTCATAGCGACGTATACAACATGTGTAAAATACGTTGTTTATTTACATGAAATTCGAACACGCGCTGCGCGACGACCACCACGCTTTATCATTCAATCAAGTGAGTTTCTAGCATAATAATAGATTTCTATTATATATAATGGGAGTTTCTCTCCCATAATGCATTGCACATGTGCAGAAACATGCTCAGTAGGGCAAAATTTGAATTCAGCTCAAAATTTGACATTTGGCATTTCAAGGACGACAACAGGTGATTTTCCGTTCAACTGTCAGATCTCGCGAGTTGCATGAAAGACGCGCGTTAAAAGTCTGCCGCAAAAATCAAATGATTTGATTTTGAACTCGAATTTCTTTTATTTCGTAGCTCACATAAAGCGGCCGATCTTTGACAGAGGAATATTGCTTTTGAATATCCTTACTTCATCAAAATTGACCATCATCAAATGTGTACAGCACATTATTAAGCATGGAAATATCCCCAAAATACTTTTGCATTTGTCAAATCCCATGCGATGTTTGACGCCACTACGATGCTATGACCTTTGTTTGTCCTGTTTTTATGTTCGAAGGCCACTATGATTAACACCCCAGTGAAATGTTAACCACTACAAAATTTGGTGATTTTCCCTGGCCTCATGAAAATGCGTCTGTCGCTAATTTAAAGCACCTTAGAGTTCACATATATAATAACATGTTTATCCTAATATTCAAATGAGAATCCTTACCTGTGAATCACACTTTCCAAGAAGACACAAAGTATGAACTAAAGCACCCAATGATAAGGCCACTGATTCACGAATCTTTTCATTCTCCACATCATTTTTGGAAATTTTCTATGAAATAATAAAAAGTAATAAAACTATAAAAACAATATCTACTTTCTCAAATATTCTGGAAAATGAATTACAATTGGTAATGTCAATGTTGATCAAAACATTTTTTTTATGTTATTTATTTAACGGTAATAGGATAGGAAGGCAAAACTTCACAGATCTTGAATGAAGGTAAGTTGCAAAAAAAAATACTGTGATTTTTTTTTAGTTGCAATGAAGACAGAAACAGCACACAAGTACCAATATTATTATGTTTTCTATCACTGGACACTAGAGATGCCATGAGCCTTTAAAGCGGGTAGAATGTAATATTGAGCAGCCAGTCACCGAAATCAAACTCCCTGATGATGGGCAGTCAAACTAATCAGTAATCCACACATCAGGTTATTCATACAGGAGTGAATCATGTGTTAATACGAGTAAAAAACTAACTACATGCACACATGATAGAGCTAGCACCCTCACAGGTAGATACTTACTAACAAATTTTCCAGGATGTCATGACTTGGGTGACTCAGGTAAGAAACTGACACCAAATAGCGATCTATTAAATCCAACATGTCAGCATTATTAAAATCCAAGATTTCAACCATTGCTTCATGAGCTGCATTGGTCTGAGTTACGGCCACAATGTCAATTAGCTGAGGTCTGGTAAAAGAATATAAATATAAACGTTTCTCGCATAAATTATATGACACAACAAAGATAGGAAATAAAATGAAGTCACAGAAACTCAAAGTTCTGAATGTGCAAACTTGTATTTACTTTTTGTTCTGTTGATTTTAATTTTTAATCGAAATAAGCCATTTCTGTGATCATTTTGAGTTTTCTCTAGAAACAAATCATGTGATACCTGCTGTCCAATCACAAGACTGCATTTTGGTTACATAGTTTATAATATCCAATGGCATGATTTCAGTTTGGTCATGTGCGTTTTTGCAACTTACACAATTTCCTGATTGTTGTCATCCATCAAAATGCTCAATATTTCTTCTTTTCCACAATTTCGAAACTTTTCCAAGACTGTCAAGTAAGCTGAAGATAATTCCACTTTGGCGAGATAATCTGACTTTAGGTGTTCTCGATTCTCAGCAACAATCTCTGCTGCCTGCATAAGAGAATTCATTTATTTATATAATGGGATAAAACAGTTCCAAATATTAGTATTTATATACTGGATGATTTTATTCATAGATTGCGTAAATGGATGCTTTACTGATAAACCACTGGCAGTAATTATTAAGGTAGAAGCTTACTCATGAATGCAAATACTCAGAATTTATTCATTTTCAGAGAAATTATACTTCCAGGAATCCAGGCATTATAAGGATATTGACTTAAAAAAAGTTGGAGGTCACCAGCTAAATTTTCAAGAAAATGTTGATTGTATTTTAGTGGATAGTATTCATTTTGACAGTATGGCAGAGATATTGTGCAATATCTCAAATTGTAGCTCGGTGACATAAGACTGATAAAACCATATTTTGTTCATGATGCGGTACTTATTGGAGTTCTTAATTATTTCAAAAATCTGGGTTTCAAAAAATGTCAAAAAATGCAATTTTTTTTTCAACTTTGTGCTTTATGATATTGTTCTAAAAATAACAATTTTTGAAAAATATTAGGACAAGTATTTCAAAATCTGTCACTGTAACACAAAAACAAAAATGATATTGCCTGGTGCCATGAGACAATAGCTTCATGATTTTACATAATACACCAATAAACACTGTCATGCGATTTATGACCAACTTTCTCAAAAATAATGAGTAGGCTTAATGACTATTTTTCCTCAAAAAACATAACAAATTAAAAATGATTACACAATACTTACTGGTCTGCATTCCTTCGTACAATGTTGTTGAACAAAGTCAGTTATTGGTGAAACACTAAGATAATTATTTCCCAAGTTTGCAATGGCTTCATCCAAACTGTTACCATCAACAGTGAACTGTTCACCCTCTGAGTTGAGGTATGAGAGAGACTGTCTGTGAAAACACAAGACATGATTGGCTGTGGTTATAAAGTCACATCTTTGCATATTCAACATTTCTATATTTGGAAAAGTTGTAAATATGGAAAAGCTTTGATTGGCTGTTCTTATAGGTCAGCTTATCTAATGCATATTCATCATCTCCATATTTGGAAAAGTTGTATAGATTGG